GGCAAGTGAGAGCTAACAACTTTGGCAATCTTGATAGTTCCATGTCGCACCAGCAAAGAGGTTTCTCCCAATAAGCAAGATTGTGTTGAATTTGAATAGATACCCGAGATGCCCGAATCGAATTGCATCGCGTGACTGCCAGACTTAGCGGCCATCACTCGCCATTTGATGCAAGCCCGGCTTCATCCTTGCCTCTGACCACCATCTTGCCTGTCCACCCCTGGCTCTAATAACCACGGCAATCCCCGTTCCACGTATAATTCGCTTCTTGCCTTCGACACAAGCAACCCCGAAGCTTGCAGCTTAGCAGCTAGCATAGCAACGCGTCCTCAAAGAAATAACATTCGTTCCTCTTCTTTTCTGCTGGCTCAGTATCTTGCTTTCATCCTCGTATGCCTAAACGCAACTGATCTGTTTTAGTGGAGGTTTGCGACCGGCAGTTCGGCCAATCCTAAGTATATCTTCGACGCCGACGGCTCTCATGCTCGATGAACTTGGAAGCTTAGAGCTCTTCGTGTTTTTCTTTTAGGTAATGTTGACAAATATGTCGAAAGCAATCCAATAGAAGCTCTCAGAAACTTCACATGGCTGGCAACACAGGTTCCTCTTTCACTTGGCTCTCATTTCATCTGACTCCCGCATTCATCATCTCTGCCAGTGCACACTGTCAAAGGAATCTCTTGGAAGCCGGGTCCGACCCATGGCAGGAAAACCGATCTCTATGTCGAAGTTTTCCGGGATGGCAGGAGATCCAGCGCACCATTAAGCGGGAGCTGGCGCCGAAATGGGATTCCCTTGTCAACTTGTGATCCCCAGGATATATACGATGTGGGCGCATATATACATTTTCCTCTGAATCAGCTCTGTGAATCCCACATCTTTCATCATCTTTCTGGCGATTTTTCACGATTCATCGTTTCCGTTGTCCCCTGATAATTGCCTCGGGATGTCGACACCTGTATCAAACGGCCTGGCATCTGCTCTGGTCTCGGTCACTTCAAAGCCCGAAATGGTTATTCGGATTGGGAATGAAATCGCGGCGGTACGGTTGTCCTCACTCCATCTAGAGTATACCAACTCAAACAAATTCCAGATACACCCGTATGCCAACATCGCTTGGAAAGTTCTGACGTCTGTGTACTAGGAGTGCATGGCATGTACCACACCTGAGACGAGCTGACAGGAAAACTCGGTCGAAGAGACAGTAAGACACAGATGACAGGGTTCTAAAACTCATCGAAACAAGGACAGATGCGTATTCGTTCGGGGCGTCGTGGAGTTCCTCGCCCGATCAAGAACTTCGAAGATAAAGCCCTCGCTATTATTGTCAAGCAGACGGCGGAATGTCAAGCGCTGTTCATCCAGGAATACACCGCTCATGGATTCTGCGGCAGGTATCTGTCGATTACGATCTCACACTCATGCTCGACTTTCACGCAGCTCGTGCCATTCGGAGTTGCTTAATCCACGTTGACCGAAATATCGACGAACTGTCTGAAACGTTCCTCAGACTGGAAGATTCATGCCGCGGTCACTTGACCGTTTAATCTTTACTTTAATTCCGTCCGCGACGATGCGGAAAAAGCTCGAGTTCCTAGGTTCGTGCCGCTTTCTGGTGTATAGTGGCGGGCTAATTCGTCGGTACAGGAAAAATTGACACGCTGAATATGCTCCCTCTAGTGGGCAGGAATGACCGTTTGTAATCCAACATGTTTTGATCAACGGGAAAGGCCTTCTTCAACTAGCGACACTAAGAGAACTTCTCGTGAAAAACGTAGTGCAATAGCTCTTTCGGGGGGCTGTGGACACACCAGGAGGCGAAGCTGACGTGTGCGAGAGGATCAGTGAGGGGGTGTCCGAGCGGGCATAGCGATCGCACCTAGAGTATCGTCGACCGCAAGCACCATCGAGCACCTGCTGTACCTCGCTTTGACCGCTGACGTCACTGCACCGCCTCCAGCTTCTCCTCATCGTCCAGCCCCTTTCCTCACCGCCGTCACCGCCCGCGATGCCTGCCAGTCCCATCCGAAGCCTCCAGAACTTCCCGCCCTGATCGATTGTGAGGATAGGCCGGGACAGGCTCGACTCGTTGAAGCTCTTGAACGGCGAGCGGCCCGCTGGGACTCGCGACTCGACACCCACAGTGACACTGCAGTTGCTCTCACCGATATCCTCTCGCGTGGGATATTTCCTCGACACCGAGAACAGCACATCTCTTCCAAGGCAACTTCGCATTGTTGATTTCGTGTTTACGGTGCGTCATTGCCTTAACTCACTAAATTCGCTTTGCTCACTGGCTCGCCGCCGTTTGACAGGAGCATATAGGAGGGATCGGAGCCCGGATCGTGCCAAACCACACTGGTGGCGATGGAGGCGACGGCGAAGGGCCGCGGGTCGATGATAGTCCTGGAGGGCGTTGCGGCAGAATTTCTGGTGAGCTTCTCAGAAGCATTCGAGGATACATGCTCTTGCCTCCGGAGTTCCACAATTCATTTGATTGCCTACGCCGCCGCCGATGTCTCGCTGAGCGGAGAATGACGGCCTGCCTGGGGGAAAATCAACCCGGCTTTCAAGCTGAAACACTGAACTTCCATCTAGGGTCAGTTGATTATTGGGCATCTAGGGTCTATTCGTTGCCTACATCCGCTTTAGCGCGGCGGAGGTCCGCGTTCCGAGCATGCTCTTCAGTGCGTACCTAGGCCTAACATACCATTTCTCTCGTCCCTGCTCATATTCCGCAACAGAACGGGCACTATCAAATGCCCGGGCGGACCAGGGTATTCGTAGCGAATACCGTCCCTTATGGAGCCAAGTAATAGGCGTCGGCGCCAAAATCAAGCGCCGGTCGCGAGTCGAACAATGGCAAGTAGTTCTTCAAGTTACTGGTGTTAACTTCTCGGAGTCCATAGGGAGCCCAAAGCTCGTTAGTAGATGTACGGAAGGTAGGTTGAAAGCTTTGCAGACATCGGCCTCGATGCGGCGACTCTGGAACTTTCAAAATCATCCTAGTAAGTTGCGGTGAGTCTCCTGCGGCAGGCGCCCAGGCGGGGCAATTGTCGAATTCAACCCTACTCTCCTTCCCGGCCTCTCTCAGGTGCCCGGACGCGGGGTTTCCCCAAAGAGATTCCCCTACGCCTTTGAAGATAAATAGTGGGGGGTGAGAGGCTGGAAACCCAAGCATCATTTCCAGCACTCAGTCGTAAGGGCATTTCTCTTCCTCATCGAATGTTCGACTGACATGCCTGCAGAAATACTGAACGATTATGCTCGCGTTCAACCTTCTTTTCCTCGCTGCCATGGCGCCCTGCTCGTCACTGCCGCCCCTACGAACCTCAACTGGGGTGCGACGGACAAAACCGGCATCGTAGTCAGGCCATTAGCCAGCGCTGACGCGCCACCGGCGGAGGATATCGTAGTGAGGCAGACAGGCACCGACGACGCCGCTGGCGGGCATCCCGCCGGTCACGGGCATCGTCCTCAGGCAATTGGCCAGCGCTGACGCCCCCCCGGCGGAGGATATCGTAGTGAGGGCAGACAGGCACCGACGACGCCGCTGGCGGGCATCCCGCCGGTCACAGGCATCGTACTGCGGCAAATGCCAACGCTGACGCCCCACCGGCGGAGGACATCGTAGTGAGGCAGACGGGCACCGACGACGCCGTGGCAGGCATCCTGCCGGTCACGCGTATGGTCCTCAGGAAACCTGGCCAGCGCTGACGCCCCACCGGCGGAGGATATCGTGGTGAGGCAGACGGGCACCGACGACGCCGTGGCGGGCATCCTGCCGGTCACGCGTATGGTCCTCCGGCAATTGGCTAGCGCTGACGCCCCACCGGCGGAGGACATCGTGTTGAGGCAGACGGGCACCGACGACGCCGTGGCGGGCATCCTGCCGGTCACGCGTATGGTCCTCAGGCAATTGGCTAGCGCGGACGCCCCACCGGCGGAGGATATCGTGGTGAGGCAGACGGGCACCGACGACGCCGCGGCGGGCATCCCGCCGGCGGTGGGCGTCGTAGTGAGGGAAGTGGAGGCGCGCTCGGCGTGAGCACTGAAGAAGAATCCGGATACCAGACTGCTCCTTTTATCGTCCCAATCCTTTATTCATAATATAGAATTCTCGCGCTTCCGACTCCTTTTGTATTTCCTTTTGATTTCCTTCCCAATGTGAAATAATTTGTTTTGTACTGCAGATCCGGGTGCACGGTGCGAGATTGAACTCAATGCACCATCGTGGCTGCGGCTCGAACACTTCAACCAAGTGTGAGATAATATGGTTGAATTAAATTCATCTTGTCGCGCGACAACGGAAGGTCAAAGTGTGCGTAACCAAAAGTGGAGGTATGAGATGCATCAGTGAGAGACGGTTTTAGTTTAAGTTTTGCTTGGGGTTCGGGCGAGTCCCATCTTTTCTGAAAACATCAAACTGGAAAAGCAAGTTTTACCCCGTCTTCGGCGCATTTTGCGATCGAAATATGACTGCAGACAATCATCAATTTTTACCCCTCAAGGTGCTTTCACGATCTTCTCGGCTTCAAGTTGCGTGGGCCAACACGGCAAGTCATCGCAAGATCGTGAGCCTACTGCTGACCCCGAATTTGCGCGGTTTGCTGCTTTGAGGCCTCGTATTGTGTTTAAGCGCCCGTCGGTATTTAAATACAGACATACCAGGCCATCTTCAATTCCCTGCAGCTCGGTAGTGGCAATTTTTGAAGGGGGGTTTTTTTTTTCAGGTTCGAAGCGCCGAGCTGAACTGAACCTGAAGGCGGATTCAGGTTCAAGGTTCGGGCATTTCCGGAACGCGAACCGAACTTTGACAACACTACTTGGCAAGTTGATTAGTGCGTTTTGTACGCTAGTTGATTGGTTGATCCAATTGGCGTAGACGAAGGAGATGGATTATTTACTGGAGATCGTAAATTTAATTTACCTCCAAGTTCTGGTTGATTTCTATCGACCCCCGCACGATCTGGCCCTTATGCGTCGCATTCAATGCCACCGGCCGTCTAGCTCAGTTGGTTAGAGCGTCGTGCTAATATGCGGTATTGCACTCGGTTAATATTACGCGAAGGTCTTGGGTTCGACCCCCACGATGGCCATGATGATTACCTATGATAATTTTTTGCAACTCCACATTCCCCTGTACCTTCGACTGCGATGCCAGCAGCTTCCATCGGGCAAAATGAGAACCATGCAAGTGTCACCATTATGCGTGTCATTTTTTTCGAACGGCCGCAGCTGATTGCATGGTCTGGGCCTGTGGTCCATACTGACTGTGAGCAATGGTATAGTGTCCAGACCTTCAAAATGGGGGTTATTCGGACTGAAAGATAGGTACTCCCAAGGTAAATAACCAGCGCTTCCCCCAGATTAATTATCCCGAGCCTTAACGCAAGATCTACAGCAGCACCGCCACCATCTAATCAGATTATCGGTGCTTACTCACGCCACTGTAAGCCTCTTGTCTCCTGCCCCCATGTCCATCGACAGCCTCAGCACCAGCGCCGACAGCCTCCGCACCCTCCCCGCCCGCCTCAGCCCATTGCAGTCCTCCTCGGCATCCTTGCGTACCCCACCTCCTTCCTCTCCCCCCGAGAGCCCCAATGGAAGCCCCAATGGGAGCCCCAACGGAAGCCCGAGTCTATCGGCATCGGGGTCCTCAGTCTCGAGCTTTCCCAGCGTCTCGAGCTCGTTCTTCTTCAGCTCTGCGGCCGCGAGCCCGCCGCATCCACCATCGTCTGCGCCGAGCGGGAATGTGGACGATACGCTAATCATCCCGGAGCTGGTGCTGCCGCCGCCGGTGTCTGTCTCGCAGAAACTTCAAGCAAAGCAGCATCTAGCTCGCACAGGGACACGGGTCCTTGTTCTTGGGCCGCCGGAGGTGCTCTGTGATCCACAACAGTGGGTGGAAGACCAAGAAGATGGGGATGGGAGTGGGGCGCGCGTGCTGCGCATCGCGGATAACGCAATCTCAAACGCTCGCGGGACCGAATCGGATGCGGATCCGCACGCTAGGACTGTCGAGTTTATCTCCCTACCGCACGTACGTCCCCATCCTCTCGTCTTCTACAGGACAGTACAGCACGCTGACGCCTCGTGTGCAGACGGACTCTAACGTTCGTGGGACCCACTCGGATCCACACATCGAGCTCACCTCGCTCCCTCATGTATGTCCTCCTCTCCCATTTTCTTCGTTAGAGTACGCTAACGCCTCGTGGACTTCCCAGACGGACTCGAACGCCCGCGGTGCCGAATCGGATCCGCACACTAGTGCTATCGAGCTCGTCTGCCTACCGGATGTACGTCCCCCTCCTCCGCCTCTAAAGCATCGAACGCTAACGGCTCATGTATAGGCAGAGTGCTTCCCCCTTGCACAGCGCATCCTCGCCCCGTTCCACACGCTCTCCGCGCTCCTCGCACCGCCTTTACTCTCCGCTCCGCCCGAGGAGGAGGCGGTGCTACGGGCGCTGCTGGGAGGCGAGGGCAGCCCACTGTATGCGGCGCTCGTCGTGTGCCTTGAGTCTGAGTCAGCTGCGGGACACGAGGCTCCATCTCAGCCGAATCGGAATCCCACTGCGAATCTGAATGCGCGCGACCCTCTGCTCGCATCCGCGACGCACGATGGCGCACCACGAGCGGTGGTGGAGATCCCCGGCTCGATACGCAGGCTGATCCCCGTCGTCGTCTTACCCTCTGCTTCCTCTTCCCACTCTCGTCCACGCGCTCCTCCTCAGCCCTCTGCCACCGACGTTTCCGCACACGATAACGAAGACAAAGACGACGACGACGATCCCCACCCGGCCCACCCCGCCGACGCCGCCGAAGATGGTCCAGCCACCGCGCGCCCGCGCTCGCTTCATGAGCGCGGCGGGACGTACCGCGACCCGCATACACACCGGGATACGCTCACCCGCCGCAACCTCCTCCCTCACACGCACCGGGACACGCTCACGCAGACATCCAGAAACGACGATATCAGTAGCAGAGCGCGCGCGCTGCACCCATCCCTCGACCTGCGCGTCCTCCGTAGCGAAGCGGCGGGGAAGTTCCTCACGTGGAGGAGGGCCGGCGGCGGGGATCCGTTTGGGTTTGGCGGTCTCGAGTCTCCGCGGCTTGAGGACAGGCGTACGGAGACCCGTGCCCAGTCGGACGCGAGGGGAAGCACCAGTGATAAGGAGGGAGAGGAGGAGGAGGCGCCGCTCCCTCTCTCTCCTTCCGCGTACTCTGCTCCCCACCCCTACACGTCACACGCGCACGACCCCCTGCACCTGCCCTCCCTCCTCTCACTTACTACCTCCGTCCTGCGGCTCAAGTTGAGGACGGTGAAGGCGTGGACGGGGTGGGGCGCCGTAACATGGGGAATGGGCGCCTTCGTCGCCGGTGCATTGTTTGGCGTTACCGTGGGGGCTTGGGGCGGGTGGTGAGGAGGACTGGGCAACGCCGGATGAGGGAGAGATGGGGAGAATATGCGGGGGTGGGAGAGTATGGGGAGCCGGGAGGGGAGAGGGGAGTAGGAGGGAAGGGGGGACGATGAGGGAAGTGGGCAAGGGAGCGATGCGGATTTCACGACGGACGAGGACGACAGCGCGCGCGCGCGACCCTCACCTCTCAGCGCCCTCCCCGGCCTCTCGCTCCACGGACGCCTCGCCACGTCACACGAAGGGCGTCGTGCCTCTGGTCCGCTCGGCTCCTCTATGATGTCGGACGTCCCGCTGCGTCGCCGTCTACCGCTTGGCGTACGCCTCTAGGATCTGCCCCGCCTGCGCCGCGCCCGTGTCCTGCGTCATCTCCCCGGCGCCCATGCCGCGCCCAGCCGCTCGCTCAGCCCACCGTCGCTCCGCTGTCATCACCCGCTTCCCTATCGTCTGCGACCTTCCTCCCCTGCCCCGCCGACTTCTCAGCTCGGCGCCCTGCCACCGTATCTTATGCCACGTCATCCCGCCCATTTCAGCCGCTCGTCTCGTCTTCGCGCGCGCCGGCTGTCGCGGCGCATGTCCTCCTTCTTCTGCCCCCACCCCCGACGCACCCGCGAGGTCGTCGTTCTCGGCCCCCGCTCCGCTGTTGGCTACCTCTTCCTCCTCGTCTCTGCTTGCTTCCCCTTCTATCCCGGGTTGCCGTCTTCGCTTCGCCTTCCTCCGCCTCCTTCCCTCAGCTGCGTCAGCGTACAGGTGCCACGTCATCCCCGTCCATTTCCATGTCCGCCGCTCGTCTCATCTCGTGTCCGGCTGCTGTAGTGCGCTGACGTCCCGGGAACGGAGGGGGGGACAATATGCTCCGCGGCAGCGTCTGCGTGCGAAATTCTGGGAGAGATGGGGGGTGGTAGATGAGTGGAGGCAGAGACGAGGCGAGGATAAACAATGGGCGTATCGCGGCGCACTTCACCGGGCGCGCGGCGCCTTCAGGTTTTGGCGCCCACACATGCTCATCCACTGTCGCTCCCTCGCCCTCACTAGCGAACCCTCCTTCCCGCGGGCGCACCCTCCGCGGGGTGGTCGGCTCCGTCTCTCCCGTGCTGCTGCATCCTATCGACGTGCGCGCGTCCTTCCCCAGTGATCCTTCTCTCGCCTGCACCGCGCGCGCTCGTTCTCCGCTGCGTCCCGCGCGAGCTGCTCTGTTTCCTCTACCGCTGCGCGTTCGTTGTACGCAGGCTCAGCTGCGTACCTCGCCCGCCCCAGCGCTACTTCCGCGCTGATGGACCACGGGCCCGGGGCGAGGCATCGAAGGTCGTCCATGGCGTCCGAAATCTCCGTCTTCATCCTCATCTTGCGGCAGGCTGCGTCTCGTGCGCACTCCATCGCCTTGCCTTTCTCGTTGTCAGCGCTCCTCCTCCCCGCGCCCGCGCCCCGTGCTCGATGGTGCTGTACTGTAGCGAGGCGGTAGCGCCTCCATCGGCGCTGTTGGCTCTCTGATGCGCCGCAGCTGGTGCCTCCCTCCACCCCCCTCTTCTCTTGTCGTCGCTGGCCTCTCTGCTTCCTCCGCTTGGCAGGCCGAGACTGCTCACCGGCTCCCTCGCCCATTCCCCTTCTCCGCACCTCGACCCCGACTTCCATAACTAGACATCACATCCTGACTTCCGCCCTCATTCTACCTACTCATCTCACGATCCACATATCACGATTCCCGATCCACGACAGACTCATTCATTCTATTCAATCTGTATTCTAAGGCTATACTTACTGCACGGCGGACGAGAACGGTGTACATTGTTGTATCTACTTAGTTACTAGTAGGTGTGGTGTATGTTATAATGTGACAACTTCACGACGTATGGTCGATAGGCTGGTCGGCACTGCCACTGATGTGCCGCTTCCTCCTTAAACCACAATCCAAAAATCCAAAGTCTCGCGAGCACTACGCACAAAGCTTCCAGTTCGGCTCGAAGAGATAACGGATGCCACTGTGCTCGGTGTTTATAAACTATTCAGGATCCGGAACAGTGACTCACGCCCATCGCCCGGCAGCGCCGCTTCGCCCTTCCAAGTTCCGTGTGCTAGCGATTTGAAGTTTCCACAGCTTCTCCTCTCCATGAAGCATGGGAACCTATGGGAGAAATAGGCATTACGCCACCTCGAACCTGTGAACGCAATGGAGCCAAGGCCCAAGATCTTCTGGTTTTGCTTTGTTTTTACTTGAAAGTTGACTCCAACGATCCGTAAACGGCTCATGATATCATCCCAAGAGTGCTGGAGGCTTCAAACCTTCTTCACCTGTCTGCACTGACACTGCTTGGGCACTGCCTATAGTAACATTCTTCTTTACGGGGCTTCCAACAGCTTCCGACGGCCATCTTAGGTTCTAATCGCCATCTCATGGCGTCTGCCTACTCTCTCCTCGCCCAGTGGAAGCCATTCCTACTTACTGAAGACCCAGTAATCATGTCTGCTAGTGAAAGCGGTCGAAGGAATCACGTGGAAGGCGGAGCGGACGCAGCTCTATGCCGCAATTTACCGCGATGGGCGTCGAGATCAGCGTGAAATTACGCCGAACTGGGATTACTTCGCAAAAATGTAAGCCCGGGGATGTGTGCGGCGTTCGCACATGCTTATTGTGCCTTGGACCAGCTCGTCTGATCTCGCATCTTCTATTTCTTTGCGGGTTT